CCGAGCGTAGAAGGCGGAAGGAGCCGGGGAGGGGCGAGCGTACGGCACGAACGATCGAGATTGTCAGTAGGTCACTGGGACGTGGCTCGTGGCCGAGACGAGCGTGGCTTGCACCTTCAGTCAGTCCCCGTTGGCCAAGGTAGCCACCTCTGGGCCGGTCGAGTCGAGTCGCGCGGCACGCAGACGCTAGTTCCTCTCCTTTTTTTTTCCGACCACCACGGGACCAAGGCAGCACGGTCACGCTCGCGGGCCCGATGAGGAACGACTGAGCCGCGTGTCCATTCGCGGGGCTATTTCGTGAGACCGACCGCGTGACCGAAGGGGGGTGAAGAGGGATTTAAAAAGAAAAGCGGAAAAAGGAAGACCCAGCATATCCGGAGAATCAGCAGGTGACATCGAGTGTCTCGACGAAGGATTCGACTGAGGTGCATCGATCTACATTTCTCTGAACCGCGATGTCGTTTCGATCCGCGATGGCACTCTCTTTCCCCGCGTTGATTTAAAGTTTTTCATACTTATTGATCAGCGGGGATCTAATATCTTCCACTTTGATGTTTCGAACTCTCTCGCTCCGCCCACGGAGTTCCCTGGTATTCCACTTCCGGTCTCTTCCCCTTTATCTCTGTACCATACGGGAAATTTAATTTTTCTTGTGTTTTTTTTCGTTTCTTTCTCCCTTTCTCACTTGTTCCCACCACCATCGCCATCCCCCTGCTGTTTCTGCTCGCGTCCCATCCCCCGGACGGTTAAACTTTATTTCCTAGCCAATTTCAGCGGAAACGAACGCTCTTTCTTGCTCTGTCCCGCCGCGTGCGCGGACTTTGAATCTCGCGAGATTGAATTCCCCGGGCGGCCGACGCGACGTTGGGACTCGAACTTTTTCTCTCGGCGCGTCGTCGCGGACGAGTTTTTAATTAAGAAGTTCGACTTTTGAGAACACCGCGGGACGGACGATAGCGCGGTGTCCGTTTGTCGGGGGACAGTGCGTACGTTATTCGGCACTGGTTGATACGCGGAGTTATGTACTATCGTCCAGCATGGTTCTTATCGCTTCTCGTCGTTTTTCTTCGATCGACGTTATTTTTCGAATGAGTTTTGAAGGGGAGGATTCGTTGAAGTCCTTTGAGTTCGTCGATGAGAATCTGGCTCGGGGATTCCGTTCATCGATGTACATTGGGACGAGTGTTCGCGTGTGGCCACATTGATAGCGAGCTCCATTTTTTATTCCAGAGAGGATACACGCATGATGGAGAGGACGTGGCGGAGTATACGGAAGACAGCTTTAATCTTGTTGCTGCCTTTGTTATTGGCTGTGAGTAGAATTTGAATATTTTGTTATTGGCTTGGTTCGTGCTGCGGTCTGGTTAAGAGCGGTTGATTCTATTCATACTAGATTTGGGAAAGTCAATTTGATGGATATTAAATTTGGTACACACTATTTGGTGAGACTGTCGGACGATTTTGATTAGTGCAAATATGCGAACATGTAGCGTAGTCCGAGGCGCATCGGATCATTTTCTATTTGAGAGAATTAAAAGTGCGTGAACGTTAATGATGGAAAATGGAAAAGAATTTTTTAATCTTCCTTTGGTAAATAAGAAACAGAAAATGAGAAATATAATTCTTAGTTCTTGGATTAGTTTTCGGATTCTTAGTTCAACCCGATTCATCGTATGATTCGATTTGCCTTGGTCTATCCTATACTAACTTTCTATTTTTGAGGCTCTAATTACCAATGTCTATATGAATATGAATCTTTTGGGGGATATATAATGAAGTATACAATAAATGTCCTTAAAGTTAGAGTTAATGAAGCGATAGCTGGTAAACATGAGTACGTGTGCATCGTAAAATGACTTTTCGAATTGGTTTTAGCGCTAAAAGTATCAAGCAGCTAGAGTGACTTATATCAAATTTTTTATAAAAATTGGAACAATACATTTCTTGAGGTTCAAAGAGTCTACCAGTTTTATATCTGCACAAACACATAAATTTAATTCAAAATCATTCGAAAAGACGCGTTCATAATTGAAATATTTACAAAATAAAAATTCTGAAGTGGGTTAATTTGACCTGCTTGGTAGTTTTAGTATTAAACGCACGTGTGTACAGTCTAAAGTTAAAGATAGAATTTATTTTCATCTTTTAATGGTTTTCTCTTATAAAAAGGAGAAAAGTGTGACTGAAATCTTAAATAGCGAATAAAATGTTTGCAAAGGAGGTATTTTATTGGAAAGACCCGATTGAAGCGGATGGTTTGCTGATTTTAAAGTCGGAAATCGCGGACATAAAGATCAAGGTCACTTTCTACTGATGATAAAGTTAAGTAGTGGCAAGTAATGCAGCATATACCATGTTAGAACCAGTGGAAATACTGGAAATATGGAAAATTTTTATGAGGAATAATTATAGTAAAATTAATGGCATACTTTATTTAAATTAAACAAAGAATTACTGGAAATTACTGGAGTTAGCTACTCGCATTTAATCGATTCAATAAACAAGTAGTTTTCTCTGTGTATTTCAATCTATTTTAAATTTATCTATCTTATCAATTATCAGTAATGAAAATAGTGCGAGAAGAATTAATTTTAAGTGTTTTTTATTTTGATTGTGAAGTTATTTCTGAAGAATGCAAATGGAGATTATTTGCTTATAAATTAATAAATTAATCAATTATTTTATATATACAGTCGATAGACCTGTCATTCGCTAATGTAACGAACAAACACTGATCATTCTTTTCATTATTCAGACTTCCCTCATTTTCTGTATTCTTTGCCAATTGTGCATTGAGAAGTAGAGCAGAAAAGGAAGCAGTTACGGAGATTTTATACCTTTTAGTATGTAATAAGATTCTTCGTAAACTAGTGATTTATCTTGTAGTAATTAGTAATTTCAGTTAGTAATTTGTCAATTTAAATTTAACTCGAAGATAAATTTTCCATACCATCTTTTTGGTTACAAATTTGCTTTAGTTCAATTAATAGAATTAATATTAAAAATGTATACAAATGTATATGTACAGCTTGATTGAATTTTCATAAGATTAATAGTGTCAAGATTAACTGCTGACAATAAATGTGACTTCTGTCTAGTAGATTAAAAATATCTTCTTTTATTTTTACCATTTAACGGTCGAAGTTTACATTTTTTGACGGGAAACGTTCAACTATTGGTATAACTTGTTTCTGATTCTATGTTCTAAAATAAAAACATCAGAAACACATAATTATTACGTCTTTTGTCAACTCGTTGACTGACACTACATTCATACAGAAACTTATGTAACAGAATATTCTGTTTATATTTAAAAATTAACATTCATAAAAATAAAATGAATGTACCAAATATTAGGATTTATGCAATAAGAAAATTAAATTAATTGTCGTGTAACTAATCTTGACTTTCTGGTTTCTAAGTCGTTTAATAAATATCTTCGATTTGAAAAAAATTTCAAGCTGGTAGTTTGACAGTCAATATTAAGAAATAATCCATCACGAAATACTCAACTTTGTTGTGTCTCTCAGTGTATCTATTTTGAAATATTATTAACCTCTTCAGTGGAAATGATGAGACTCGTTCGCACGTGCTGTCCGAGTAAAACTTGGTTTTATCAATTATTTCATAAATCTTCCACATCGTGACTAAAATAGTTTCCATACTTTCACAAATAAATTCAATTCAACCTGTAAATACTTCAGTTTTTTCTAGTAATTGTGCCCACGAAGTTGCGACAAAATTAAATAGCTTAAGTAGAAATATTTGCATTCGAAATGTTAGAAGTGTAGACTAGCAAAAAGCTTTTTATAACGATAAAAATTAAAATAATTCTAGATAATATCAGAATCTGAGTACGTCGCAAATAACTAAACAAGTAAAGTGACACTAAAGAAATGAGAAAGAAACTGGGTTAACACATTCACGACCGATAAATTTTTCGCTTTCCTAATACCTATTACCAGTGAAAATGAACAAAATCTTCAGTTAATTGCCACAAATTTCTGACGTCAACACAGGGACAAGAATTAGAAAATTTATTTTGAAAATGTTGAAAATCTATTGTTTTCAACGAAGAACTTTCCGTGAACACTTTGGGGTTAGGTAGGTTTAAAATTGTCCCACTTTTTTATTGACGGTTAATGCATGGTGGGCTATTTCCTAACCCACCAAACTTAATTACTTATACTCTTATACTACTACCGTGCACGCTGAGTTTTTCGTTTCTTCAAAACAGCGTGTCCCTAAGGGTTAAAGAAGTCGAAGAAGCTGAAGAACAAAATATTTTTAATGTTATCATGTTTAAAATTATGTGAATTCACGTCAGCGGTCACGAATGCAACACTAAACGAATCGACTTTTATACGCACCCCTTTCTATCGTAACCAGACAAACAAAATAAAGGCAAACATGGCAATCAATAAATAATTCTTAATAAAAACAGGAATAAAAAGAAAGACAACAATTAAGAAACCAGTTAACCGTTTAGTTTCCAGAATCTCTCATTCTGCGCGCAATAAAATCAAATAATAAAGTGTACACTCGCTAAACGCAGAGAAGATGCATCTATAATATATTCTAATGGAAAACTAGAAGAAGGATTACAAGTTTACTTGAAAAAATAAATTATTTATCGTTGAAAAAAATTAGTTAATCGGTTAACCGGACAATATAGCGAGCAACATAAAATTAAATGAACGAAAAAGAACGCAGAATGTTTAACGAAACTTTGAAACCGGTCATTTGATGGGTACATTTAGTGTTAACGCTAAAACTACCAGACGGGTCAAATTGGACCATTTTAGAATGTTTACTTTGCAAGTATTTAAATGACGACAAGGCTTTTGCGGAAAATTGTGAAATAAATGTGGGTATTTGTATAGATAAAACAATAAAGGATCCATTGAATCCTCAGAAATATATTGTTTTAATTTTTATAAAAACTTAGAAATGAGTCAATCTAATTGCTCGGTAGTTTTAGTATTAAAAAGACTCGAACGACGTGGCAGAGTTAAAATAATATGACAGTAGCTTTCGTGTCGATAAAATATCATCGATGATCACCTAGTTCCGTCAAAGTGCAGGTTGCGCACCGGCAAATAATCGATTTGTCGTATTATCGTGATCGGTATTATTACGCGCAAGCCGGCAATTCGTCGTCGAGCGAATGGAGATTATACTGCTCCGCGGTTGTTCTGCTCGTCCGAAGTGACAGACAGCTCGTACGACGACCGTTATGTCGCGCTACGTAAAACAGGTGAATCTATTGATGCAGTTGTCCGTGTTCAGCGTGTCGTATTGTCGGCTCGCTTCGCCCGATCTTGTTCCCACTGTTGTCGCGGCGCACAGTGGTCGATTAATCTAAAAACTGGAACGAAAATGAAAATGACTTGGAAACTTACTTTCTTTTGGTAAATCAGAATATAAAATGTGAGTACTAATTAACAACAAGGCATTCGCATTGCATTTTTTCATTCACTACAACAGTCGGGATGTAAACCGTCGAGACATGATCTTTGAAGATGACTCTCTTTAACACGTTAAGCGTCACGAAAATTTTAACCGTGGAATACTCCTTTGTAGCAAAGAAAAGTAGGAACAGTGATTAATTATTTGACGTTACAATCCTTGTATTAAACTATTATCAACTTAGTTACCTTATTAAACATTTTCATTTAACATCGGTTATTGTGCATGTTACGATTGCTTTCAAGTAATTTAGAAGCATGGGTTATTAGTAACTGACATGGCTTAATGTGTTAACAACGTGTAACTTCTACAATTTTACTTACTTTGGCTACAAAAAAATTCATAATATAGATGAAATATTCGTAAATATATTTGTAAAATCGTTTAAATTGAAAATACTTCCATAATTATGCCTTTCAAACCGCATAACTGATTAAGCCGCAAGTAGTCGCAGCTACATTTAGGTTTACCAATTGTAATAATGAGTACTGAAATATATCAATCAAGAAAGAACTGATTCCAATAGACTCTAAAAAGTTATTTAACAATTCACAAATTATGGACTGTATCACAAATTGCACCCATTATTTAAATAATTCCTTCGCTATTGTAACATTTTTAAGTCTCGCTTTTAATTTCTTAAATAATCTGGAACATATTTATCTCGACGAATGAGAAAAATAACTTTCAATACTTAAATAATTCGTAAACCATTTTTTCATTCGGTTATAAATAAGATTAAATACAAAACTGTATCAATTATACGTATTATGATGGGACTATTTTCGTCCCATTTTGTCCGAGAATCGACCACTGTGCGCCGCCATTCGGGTTTTATCGCGT